AATATGTACCCCAAAATACAGTTATAATGAGGGTAAATGGTGTTGTGTTCGGGTGAAGACGGTATAACCATTGGCTCACCTTGTCTAAGCCTTTTTTCTGCCTGACTTTTTTTGGCTCAAATATGAGGTTATCCGCCTCCTCCTAGGCGGGGGGGCGCTCTTATCACCTCTCCTAGTAGCAGGAAACCGGTTTTTCTCAGGGGCAAAAAACAAAAGAAGAGGTTGTCCCCGTCCAAGTGGGGCGATGAACAAGCATCCACTAGTAGCACAAGGAGAGATGGACCCAGCGAGGCCCATATTTCACACTATTGCACTCGGACGCTGGACCCGATTTCCAGCACATACATTTTCATCATTGTACAGGGACGCTGGACCCGATTTCCAGCAGGTGTAGCTCCCCACCAATAGATGGAGCCTTTAAAAAATAATAATAGAAATAATAATAATAATAATTAAAAAAAAAAAAAAAAAAAAAGATGGATCCTCTTTTTTCTCCTCTGCGCGAGGTTCCCAGCTCGTGCAGCTCCCCGCAAACAGGATGAAGCCGTCAACAAAAAACATCCAAAGACTTCAATCTGCGGGGTCCTTGTTCTTTTGTTTTGTTTTTTCGAATGGAGGACACAAGGTAGTACAGGAGGGGGGGGGGCATTCAGCTGCGTGCCCAGCTCACTTGGCGTACTATTCTTTCTCCTTTTACTAAAGAATACCGTGGGCTGAGCACACTGAGCAGCTTGCAACAATTTTTAACAGCCCTTCGCTCCGTCGAAGGGCTAAAAAAAAAAAAACAGGAGGGGGGGGGGAAATGGGAGTACAGGATGAAGAGGGAGGTGATGGAAATGGAGGACTGGAAGGAAGACGAGGAAAGGTAAATGGAGAAAGGGGAGGGTACATGGCATGGAAGAATCTTACCTGGGCGCCCCGATATTGGCTGTGGGGTAGGCAGAGAAGCCTGCGGGGGTGAGGGGCAGATGGAGAAAGAAGTGTACCTACAGCTCATAACCAGGCCCATATTGCAAAGTTGGCCATTGCTGGCACAGGGGCATTTTGGCATACCCCTGTGTTTTGGGGGTATCTGTGCAAATACTCAAACTTCTAGGGGCATCTCAACAATTTCCCTTCTTTTTTTTATATAATCAAATAATTCAAATTTCAATTATTGTATTTTAGCTTATCCTGCTGTGAGCCACTGCTTTTTTTTTTTTTTTTTTTTTTTTA